CCCGCCAGCCTTCTGCAGGGAGGAGGCCTGGCCTGTGGCTGCTGTCCCCACAGCTTTGTCATCTACTCTGGCTGCAGCACAGAGACCTCAGACGGGGCTGGAATCAGAGCCCTAGGCTGGTTCCAGAAGGGGCGGGCCGAGGACCCGCAGCAGGAGAAGGGTGAGCCCTGTCACCTGGGACAGGCGGGTGGGCTCAGGCCTCCAAGGAGGCACACGCTCTCGGGCAGAGCACCAGCAGAGGCAGGGCAAGGGCCATGAGGTTGCAGCTCCCGGCTCGTCTCACAGAGCTGCAGAGCAGCCCCAGTGCCCAGCACTGCAATCTGTGCGCATGGATGTGGGGGTGTGGGTGTGGGGGTGCAGACATGGGAGCGAGCGCAGACCTGGGGTCCGTCCCCGACCCCATGCTGTAAAGGAGGCTCGGGCGAGGCTCAGGGGAGTTGTTGGGGCATCCTCAGCTTCATGGTCACAGGAATCAAAAGGCACTAGACTTTAGCGAGGGTGGGCAGTGGGCCAGGACCCCTGTGGTGTTCCCCAGTCCTCCTGTTGCCACTCCCCACTCCTGGCTCAGAAATGGCGCTGCCAGGCACGTGCCGGGAGAGCTGGGGGAGCCGGGGAAGCCTGTCTATTTCTGACTCTCCCACTGAGACAACCCGAGGGTGGGAGTGGGAGGGACACCAAGAAAGGGAACGGCGGGGAGAGAGCAGCAGCACCGGCACCACCTGGGCCCTGCTTGTGGTGCAGGGCTGAGGGGATGGCATGGAGGCTGGAAGGGCGGGGATGGCCAGGGGGCTGTAAGGCTGTAGCCCTGGAACCAGAGCAGGAGCCGAAGGCCTGAGTCACACAACCTGGAAGGGTGTCAGTGGGCTAAGAGCAGAAGTGAGCTTTGGGGACCATGGCCAGAGGTCTTGGGGACCCACAGGGGCATGCCATCTGTCCGACTTTGTGGCTGACAGATCTATCGGGCCGCCTCCTGCAGTATACATGGGTGACAGCCAGTGAGCAGGGGTGAGTGATGGCGAAGGAAGGGCAGATGGATGGAGGCCAGGCTGCAGCTGACCCACTGGCTGGTGGGCTGATGGTTCAGGACCTGGTGTGGCTTTTAAGAGCAAGTGGTCCCTGTTGGTCAGGGCCGTGGAAGGTCATCAGGTGTTCCTCCTGACTGGCACTGAGGAAGCATGGCATGGGCAGGCCCTCCCCACCTGAACCTCCAGTTCTCTGAGTGAGCGCCCACCCCACTGAACCACAGGTGTGCCGGGAGGGCTGGGACACCAAACAGAGGGGAAGGCTGATGTGGACAGACCTAGCTTACGGTGTCAGTACTGACTGTGCAGCTGGGACATGGAGCCCCGGCCTCGTCCAGCCCCCGCCAGAGCCGCGGCCTCCATCTGGCTGGCAGCCTCCTTGTGGGTCTGCCCGCCCAGGACGGACTCCTCCCTTACACATGCACACCCCTCTGCCATCAGGCATCACACCCCTCTGCCATCACGCACGCACACCCTCTGCCATCACACACGCACACTCTGTCATCACACACGCACACACACCCTCTGCCATCACACACGCACACACTCTGCCATCACACACGCACACACTCTCTCCCCACCCTTGTCATCACACATGCACACCCTCTGCCATCACACATGCATACACACCCTCTGCATCACACACTCACACACTCTGCCATCACACACGCACACACTCTGCCATCACACACGCACACTCTGTCATCACACATGCACACCCTCTGCCATCACACATGCATACACACCCTCTGCATCACACACTCACACACTCTGCCATCACACACGCACACACTCTGCCATCACACACGCATACACACCCTCTGCCACCACACACGCACACCCTCTGCCATCACACACGCACACACACCCTCAGCCATCACCCACCCACACACACTCTCCCACACACGCACACACACCCTCCCCATCACACACGCACACACACCCTCCCCATCACACACGCACACACACCCTCCCCATCACACACGCACACACACCCTCCCCATCACACGCACACACCCTCTGCCATCATTTACACAAACCGTCCTCCATCAGACACTACCCTCACCTTCTCCATAGACGCTCATGCCCCCATCCCTCATATGCTCCCCCTCACTCTCCTCCCTCCGACACTCACACCCCCTTGTCCATGATGGTCTGAGCGCCCCACTGCTGCAATTCGTCACTCTCTTTGTGGACCACCTCACCA